GTTTCTTCTCTCTGCCCTTCCGCCGCTGTACTCGTCACTGCCTCTGCCTTTCGCTTTTCGCCCCCGCTGCCTGATAGATCAGCCCAGTGCTCCCAGCGACTCTGCTACCACCACAACCACCAACACCACGACGGATGGCGATGGCGACAGTGCGGCGCCGTGCGGTGTATGCCCTGGCGGTGCTTGCGCTGCTGTGCGGATGCTGCTCCTCCGTGTGCGGGGCGACGACGTCCAATGTGAAGGTGGATGTGTCGTGTCAGAATAATAAAGGAAAATTAAGTTGGCGTGTTCCTGGCGAGAACAATTGGAGGGAGTGTCCGCAAACGGTGAATGATTATGGGCCTCGTAAGGCCGAGATGACCAGTGCAGGCAGCAATGGCAGCGAATCCATTTGTCTCCTTGCCGAATCACTGTACCTGGTGTCCAGTTGCCCCACGAACTGCACTCCCTCAGCAGGGGAGAACAGTAATGCAGTTGCGTTCACGATGTATTTTAAGGCAGAGATCAGCGAACTCCCCGAGGAGTTGAAAGACAAAGCCGTTACCCTCGATGAAACTGGTGGCGATCTACTTGGCACTTCAGGCGTGTGTGAGGTACCACAATCCCATCAACCCGCAACTGGAGCGGCGTCTGGGCACCAACCTCCTGTGGCTCAAGAATCACAAACAGCGACAGCGCCATCTTCGGAGGGAACTCAGCAGGGTGGCAGTTCGGCAGGCAGCAGTGCAGGTACTGGAGTCCCTGCTTCTAATGCTGCTGGGCAGTCGGGCAGTACGGGATCCACAGGGAGTCAGGAAACATTAACCTCACCGACTGACGCTGCGGATTCATCAAAACCCACAGAAGACAGCGGGGCGCAAGCACCCTCAGCCTCTGCACAGCCATCCGGCACGTCCACTTCTGACACTCCCGCTGGCAGCGATGGTGAAAGCGCCACTACAACCACGACCAGCAGCAGCCCCAGTGGTGGGAAACACACAAAAGGCAACGTGGACGGCAGCGGCACGCCCACTGTGTGGGTGCGTGGCACGCTGCTGCTGCTGCTGCTGCTGACGGCTGCTGTTGCCTGTGCTGCTGGGGAGTGACTGCTGCGGGGCAACCGCACACCCATACACACCCTGGCAGGGCGACGCAGAGTGTTTGTGCGCCGAGTTTGCGTGTCGCCCCTGTGGGCCAACTCCTCTCCTGTGCTTTGAGGGGTACTCCTTTGCTTTTTTGTTTCACTTTTGTTTCAATGGTCGTTTGCTACGCACATCCCAATGGGTGGCGTCCCTTCCCCCTCCTGTTTGCCGCTGCCATCAACACACGCGCGTTGCCGGCCTCGCGGCTGTGCGTCGCACGGACTGCCCAAACGAGACACGAGGCCGCGGAGACCGTGAGGGGTGCAGCCGTGATGCGTGTGAGCAGGCAGTTCTTTTCCGTTTCTTGCAGGCAATGAGTACGCTCAGACACAGCCCTCTTGTGCTTTAGGGCATGTGAAGTGAAGGCGCCTGCTGAAGTAATTCATTTATGTTGTTTTTGTTTCCGCCAGGAGTCCTCCTGGGCTTCCACCTTAATTTTGTTTTTTGATTTTACTTTAGTTTGGCAAATCCTTGCGGCTCACTTTGGGTTTGCGCCGTGCCAGCCGCTGCGGTTTCGTGTTTGCTGCCGCTCCCGGCTGCATTGCTGACATGCCCCCACTCCTCTTTTTGTTTCTGCGAGAGGCGCAGGTAGTCCACGAGGAGGATTCTTTTGGTTTTTTGCTGCGATGGCACGGGAGTGGCGGGGTGTCTGTTCGCCGCTTTGAAAGTACCCGCTGCAGAGGGAGAGAATGGGCGGGGTATGCGGCGTGTCTCACTTCGAGTGTGTGGGGCACCACCCATCGCAGCCTGCCGTGGGGCGGGGTGCGGATCGGTGAGGGGAAATATGCAGCAGGAGCAGACCGTGCGGTGGACGTGGATCTGCCCCGCCCTTCGCGTTGCAGCTGTGCGGCTGGCTTCTCCTCCGCGTGCCTGTCTCTCTCGCACGGTGGGTGCGTCGTGCTTTGCCTGCGGTGTGTGTGCGGAGCTTTTTTGTTGCTCTTCACCCACGCACGTGCGCGCGTGTTTTGAAGCGGATAATAAATGGGGTGTGCGGGGGTT